AAAACTGGATTGGCAGCAATGTGAAGGGCTGCCTGGTTGTCACAGTGAAGTGGCGTCGGGCAAGACTGTGGTGCTCCAAGCTCTGCAAGCAAAAAACACAACCACAAAACCTCACTTACAGTGCTGGCCATCGCGCGGTATTCCGCTTCAGCGGAGGAGCGAGATACCACCTTCTGCTTCTTTGTCCTCCAGGAGACTGGTGCACCACCCAGCACTACATAATAACCTGTCGTAGAACGCCGAGTCAGCTGACAACCACCCCAATCGGCATCACAATATGCTGTGAGGTCAGGCGTGCCTCCTGCTGGAAAAAACAAACCCTGACCGGGAGAAGTCTTCAAATAACGCAGGACACGCATGGCGGCATTCATGTGCTCTGAGCTGGGTCGACTGACGAACTGCGAGTGGATGTTGACGACATAGGAAATGTCAGGCCTAGTGACCGTCAAGTACAGTAACCGGCCCACAAGTCGACGGTAAGCGGAGATGTCATCAATTACGTCATCCGTTGGGCGCGTGAGACCGTGATTCTGTTCCATGGGGAATCTGCTCGGACGCGATCCTGCAACACCTGCGTCTGTCAAAATGTCCAGAGTATACTTTCTCTGACTAAGGACTATGCCATCATCAGACCGTGCAACTTCTATCCCAAGAAAATACTTCAAGGCACCTAGGTCCTTGATGCTGAACTTCTCGTCCAGGAAAGCCTTGACTTGCGCAATGAAGTCTTGATCTGTTCCTGTCAAAATAACATCATCAACATATATTAATGCAGCAACAAATATGTTCTTACGCTTATATATGAGAAGCGAATGATCAGCCTTAGAGGGCTTGAAACCAAGCTCCGCTAGTGCCGATGTGAACTTTTGGTACCAATTTCGCGAAGCCTGCCGCAAGCCGTACAAAGACTTGCGAAGTCGGCACACCCTCGGATCACCAGGTTCACCAAAACCAGGAGGCATCTTCATATAAACTTCCTCCTCAAGGTCGCCGTGTAAAAAGGCGTTATTAACGTCCAGTTGATGTAACGGCCATCCGCGGATAGCTGCAATAGCGATAAGTACGCGAACCGTAACAATTTCAGCAACTGGAGCGAAGGTATCATGGAAGTCGATGCCTTCCAACTAGGTGAATCCCTTTGCAACTAGTCGGGCCTTAAAACGCTCGACAGAGCCGTCAGGCCGATACTTGACTTTGAACACCCACTTAGCATCGATAGCTTTCTTTCCGGGCAGCAAGAAAGTCAACTCCCATGTCCCGTTTGCCTCAAGGTCCGTGACCTCCTCCTGCATTGCCGCCCGCCAGCGAGCATCCTTTATGGCCGGGGAGAAGTGCTTAGGTTCAACAATCTTCTCAATGGCAGCAAGATAAGCCTTGTGCTCCGGTGAGAATCGGTGATAGCTTACTTGGTTAGACATTGGGTAGTGAACTGCCGAAGCCTCCGCTGAGGTGCCTGCCAATTCAGTGTCATACAGGTTGACCAGATGCGGCGGAGGGCGCCGGTTACGAGTTCCGCGCCGCAAGGGAGGGTCAGCGGCTTGATTAATACTCGCGCTAGCAGGTACGCTGCCACTTCCCGTTGTCTCAGTCTCTTCATGATGACAAACGTCGGGTTCGTCAATGTCGTCGTGGTCTGCGTGCATGGTGGGCATGTCCGGCAAGGATTCCACACATGCATCATCAAGGCCAACGATCGGGTTCTCCTGGCGTGGCGAGTCAGTCACCATGTCGGTGACCTTGTATGGAAACTGGTCCTCTACGAAGTGAACATCACGAGAAGTGATGATCTTCTGAGCACGAACATCATAAACTCGATACCCTTTCTGTGACCCAGGGTACCCAACAAATATACCACGCCTCCCCCTGTCATCAAACTTGTCCAAGTGGGGACTAGTGTCCTTCGTGTAAACCAAACACCCAAAGGTGCGTAAATGGTGATAGGTGGGGACTCGTCCAAGCAAAACCTCGTAAGGGCTGCGGTTCCCAAGAATCTTCGACGGCATTCTATTGATCAGGTAGGTGGCCGTCAGTACGCACTCTCCCCAAAAACAAACTGGGAGTCCAGAATGGAAACGAAGTGATCTCGCCGTCTCAAGTAAGTGGCGATGTTTCCGTTCTGCAACTCCATTTTGCTGGGGTGTATTGACGCATGAAGTCTGCAGAATGATTCCTTGCAGTTCATAATATTCGCGCAATCCCTTAGTCTGAAACTCCAAACCGTTATCAGCCTGAATGCGACGCACCTGACCAGCAAACTGAGTCTTAACCATCTGGCAGAAGAGACGTACATAACGATCGACGTCTGACTTAAATCTGAGGAGGTAAACCCACGTTGCTCGGCTAAAATCATCAACAATGGTCAAGAAATATCGAGAGCCATCAAGAGACGGGGTCCGATAACCACCCCAGATATCCATGTGAACCATATCAAAACAAGCCTGTGTCTTAATAGTATGTGAAACAAATGGTTCTCTGGTGAGTTTAGCACGAAGACAAGAATCACAATGTTCCCTCTTGGAAATAGAATCCGACAGAGAAATAGTGTTCTGCACAATGCTAAATTTTCTAAAAGATGGGTGTCCAAGCCTCATATGCCACGTCCTCGTCGATGCCTTGCTGGCAGCCCCAGCGAACACTCTAGGAGAACCTCTATCACCTCGCTGCTCCCCCTCTCGCCGAAGATAGTATAGCCCATCATGAAGACGACCCCGTCCAATCGTAGTCTTGGAGTGTGAGTCCTGAATAAGGCATAGATCATCCAAGAAAACCAAAGCCACGCCGTTATCCTTGGCCAAACGACTGACCGAAAGCAGATTGCACTTAAAACTTGGGACATAAAGAACCCGTTCAAGACGCAAATGACCATTTAGAATAACCGAGCCAATCCCTTCAACCGGTATACTCGTCCCATCTGGGATGCGAACCGGAGGGTGATGACCTCTGGTTTCCAATTTGTCCAACCAACTAGAATCGCGTACTATGTGTTCATTACAACCCGAATCAATGAGCCATTCACATAGTTCAGAAGAATTGCCAGCCATATGAGCGGTGGGTGTCGGCGCCGGGGCCTGCGCGGAGTCCAACATGAGCTTCAGTTGAGCAAATTGAGCCGCAGACAAGCCTGGAAGTGGGCTGTCCTCATTCTCCACATTGGCTGCCCTAGGTTGCGATTTCCCATCGGGTTTGGTTCTCTTCGCACCTGGCCCTCGTTCACTCTGGCGGCTCTTTCCCTGATCATTCGGATAACCGATCAGACGGTAACAAGTCTCTTTAGTGTGACCGAGCTTATTACAGTGTCCACATCGAGGCTTGTCGTCCTCGCTGTCCTTCTCGAGACGGGTCTGAAAAGCCGCCGCGTCAACTTGCGGTCGCCTACCGCTGGTGATGTGCCTTTGTTGCTCCTCAGCTGCAACAAGCTGGTAAGCCTCGGCCAGAGAAGGAATAGGCTTGATGCTCAGAATCTGAGATCGAACAACCGAGAATGCGTCATCTAAGCCAAGGAGGAAGTCAAAGAGCCGCTCCGTCTCCTCCTTTTCCCTGGTCTGTCGCGCAACATCGCAAGAACAATTTCCGCAAGTGCATCGTGGAGTAATCGTGACTGATTGAAGTTCATCCCAAGTAGTCCGGAGTTTGTTGTAGAAAGCGGACACAGAGAGCTTCTCTTGACGCAACGCAGTAATCATGCCGCGAAGCTCATAAGCTCTAGTGGCCGAACCCTTGCCGAACCGCTGTTGGAGATCAACCCAGATGTCACGCGCCGTTCGGGCACTCCGGACGCTGTTTCTCACTTCCTTTGTCATCGCTGTCTTGAGCCAGCCCTTGACATTGGCGTCGCATCTAGCCCAAGCATCATCCCGTATGCAGGATCCAACTTTCGAACGGGGTAGACTGCCATCAACGAACGCCATCTTGTTTTTCGCGATTAGGGTTTCGGTCATGTCGTTCACCCATTCGCCATAGTTGGAATCTGTCAGAAGATCACTCCCAAATAATTGGCCCGGATTCTCTGACGGATGAAGATAGAGAGGCGAAGTCAGCGGGATAGTATCGACGCCGGTGACGACATCTTTGCCGCCTGAACTGCCATCCTCTCCTGTAGTCATGGCTGCGGATTCAATAATGGATCACAGCTCTGATACCATGTAAAATATCGTAAAGCGGAAGCACACAACACAACGATTTAACGTGGTTTCCCCGTTCGATATGAACGAGACTACTCCATGGAGAGCAAACGCTCTCGGCTGATCTATTATTACTGCCGTTTGCTAGCTTCTGCGGTCTTAGGTTTTAGGTAAACCAAAACACCACTAATGTACCCATCACGTAGAAAGCTAGGGCAATTAGTACAAAATGACAAACAAGTCCTCCAAGAGTAAAATATGTACAACACGGTCCAACATGGAGATTAAGAGAAGTCCAATGAATTGGACAAGGGAGTGGAGGCGGAATTATAAAAGGGCTCTGGGACGAGAGGCAGTTTGTTTTTTTGGGCCGCGATTTTCTTTGGAAAAAGAAAGCAAGGGCAGCAGCGCGCAGCAGAGAGCGATTGGCCATTGGCGATCTGTTTTTCAAGGCTTGAGCTGAGTTCAACGAGAGCGATTATTTGGTTGGATTTTCTAAACCAAATTAGTTGTTATTTGTTGATTTAGAACATGATGAACAAAACCCTATTGTTTTATCTCAATTTCATCATGAACTAAACCCCGATTTCTGGGGGGAAACACCATAGGATGTAGCTATTTCTTGATTTGATGGATTGATTCATATTTCTTTTCTTCCAATCTCTATTGCATGAAATTACTTAATGCTTTGTGTTGACTGGCCACAAATACAATGATTTGTAGTTAATTAGGTTATTAGCGATAGTTAAACCCTATTAACTGAACATATTTCATGTGACATAGTAACTTATCGAAGCGACAGTGGATTAAATAAGGTGCTATGCGGTCTTAAATAGGATATCGATCTTCAGACTATATAGTTAATTCATTGAGCTACGACAGTAGGATTTGAATTGATTATTTAGTATGTAGTAATTCCCGACAGGGATAGCTAGCACATTCGTGATATCCTGACTGTAGAGGTATGGATTAAATCGATTGGATTATGTGAATTAATCTGGATAGGATAGGTAGTGAATCCCGGTGTTTCTCCCAGAGCTTTCTCCCATTGAATTTCTCCCGAACATTTTACTTTGCTTAATTAGTTTAATTATTTTGCTAGTAGTTAATAATCTCATTAAACCATTTTCACCTATAGTTTGCTCTACAAAATTGATTGAACTTAAGGTTGTACCAGTCCCTGAGAGACGATACCCGGACTTTCCGGTTTACTACGAGATAGGAAATTGGCATATACGCTTTTACCCTATCAATGGCCTTGTAGAGCGTAAGAAGCATCACGTTGTAGAGCTTACTCGTCCCATTATCCTTGCTTCTCTCGTTCCATCTGAATTTTGGCCTGAAGCAGTCACTATAGATGTTCGTTTGTTCAACTACCATATAACACCAACCCATAGTTAGCTTAGCCCTCATTATTTTCTTTTTAAAAAATAATCTATATTGCTTGTATCTTAGAGTATTTGGGTGCACCTTCCTTTTAAACATTATTAGCTTCTCCTTCTTAAAGAACCGACAAAGCTATCCTCGAAAAATTCTTGGTGTGTTTTTCTTGGCTATATTGACATTCATAAAGGATATCTATGCTATAATCTTGTTCTTCAACTTCTCTAGATATCCTGTGTTGTAGGTTTTTTTTTTTTTTTTGAGAAACTCATGTTTCTTTCTGCTTTGTCTGATTGTCTCCCTTTGTGTCATTCGAATGTTAGTTTTTTTTATGATGATGAAGATGTTGCTGATACTGATTTTCTCCCGAATCACCTGCCCCTTTGTCACCCGCATCCAGCTCCTCGACCTCCACGTCTAATCACTCATCTCTTTCAAGTATCGCTTCCACAGCTTTTTCTTCCATTGGCTCCCCACTGTCACCACTGTCCCTACCACATGCTCAGCTTTCCGTCATTTGTTACACACAACTTAAGGGCCAAATTCCGATTTGGTATAATGATTTTTACACTTATCATGTAGGAGGCATTTTAGTGTGCTTTATAGTATTGGTACTATAAAACATTTACAGCCATTAGATCATGTCCAAACTATATCAACCATTAGATTTCATTTAAATTATTAATTTATTATTTTATTTGTGTGTTGATGACCGGTACAACCGGTTTTGTGAAACCAATTACACTCTTCTTCTCAGTTCTCACCGCCGAAACCCCTCTTTCTTCGATCCTCTTCCTTCCTTCGATCCTCTCCACGCAGCTAGCGAGCAGTGAAGACGGCGATCCTCTCCACGCAGTGGGTGACGACGAGTGAAGACGGCGAGCAGTGGGTGACGACGAATAGAAGGCGGCAGTGAAGGCGGCGATTCGGATTCCGGATTCCGACGACGACAGTGAAGGCGGCGAGCAAGGGACGACGAGAGCGAGCATCTCTTCGTCGATTGCAAACGAAGACCGCCGGCGTCAAACCCACGCCCACCTCGGCCGCTTCTCTTTTCCCAGCTCGCCTTTCTTCCACATTCTCAAGGCCAATTGCTCAGCTGGGTGCTATTCAATCGCTTCTCCCGCTTCACTCCCCGCCGTGTCGGCATCGATTCCACCAGCTCGCGGTCGCTGTCTCAGGGTATGCTCTGCAGTGCGAACCCAGGTTATCTGTAAGCAACTTTTTACTCTTGAATTCTATTCCATGTATCGTTTACTTCGTTCTAGTTTTTGACAGCAGTTCAATTGAATCTCTGTGCTTCCAATTTTCCCCCTCCTACTAACTTAGTGCTGGATAGGAAATGCCACGAACCAGAACAATTGACTAGTGAATTCCCATCGATAGCTAACGAAGACTCTGCACAAAACCCCTCTTCCCATCGATAGCTAACGAAGACTCTGCACAAAACCCCTCCTCCACCGCAACTTTTTTCGGTTAGTACTATCTTCTTTGTGTTTAGCTTGATAATTAGCTGCAATGGCGGTTCCTGTTGTTCCTTCACTTGTTTTGAAGGAGAATTTGCAGCATTTACCTTCTCTTCACCTTGTTTTTGCTGTTGAGGTTGTGCTTGATTTGTCTTCTGTTGAGGAGGAGCATTGGGTTCTTCTGTTGTTAGGGTAGAAGAATTCGAGTCTGAAGAATTCACAGCAGTTGTGGTTGTTGTTGTTGTGGTTGCGGTTGTGGTTGTTGATGATGCTTCCTTTGGTGAGGAAGCTTTGGATGGATGTTGTTGTTGTAGTTCTTCCATCTTCTTCGTGGGAGGATTGATATGATATGATATGGTAGATAGAAAGGCCGTGTTCACTGAGAAAGTTGGGAATTTTTCTCTGTTTAGCCAATTGATGAATGTAGTTAAGTTTGAAGACCATGATTTGTTTGATTGATTTAAGTCTCTTTGCTATGGTTAGTGGCTCCAAGCATGCGATTAACCAACAGAAATGGGTACTTATCTTAACTGTTCACTTCATAGTATGAGTTTTCTGTTTGTGGAGTTATCGGATGTATCCGAAGGGACTGTCTGTGGAGTTAGAATTGTGTATATAATGTAGAAAAGAAGTTTAGTGCAGTGGGTAAAAGAGCTTCCATGAATGATGAGACATTAAGGTCAAACTTAGTTAGGATATTTAGAGCATGGTTGTTGGCCTTAGAATATACGGCAGCTTGGGAGTTACTCCCAGTTTTAGTCTTTATTGTACATTCCGTGCCTCGATCTCATTTTATATGACTGATCAAAATTCTAGAATCTTTAGCAAGCGTTGGTATCGTGGTGGAACATTTGATACAATCAGTAGACCTCATTGTAACGCATAACAGCATCTTTTTCTTGCCTACTTCATACTGTTCCAAATTGTTAGAAGCTCGTGTATTTGTTATGTTTTCAGAGCTACTGATTATGCTGCTTCTAATGAAGGTGGTGATCGTATGTTGGTTAACGAATTGAGGAAAATGAAATGTTAAAGTTCCATGATGCTTTATCAATACTACTGTTCTGCTGCATCTTGTCCCCAACCTAGGAAATGGCGGGTAGAAGGTTACAAATGTTCAGTGGCTTTTGTTTTATTTGCAAGATATTTTGGATTTTTAGTTCATCTAAAGACTTGGGAAGAAATAAAGATGGATTTTCAATATTGTCCCATTGAAGTCGTTCTTCTTGGTAACTACTTAGCCAAGTCTAGACTTACGGAAGGTGTTGATGTGATTTTGGAAGAAGAATAGAAGTTTAGCTCTGCACCTGCTTTACTTGCTAAATGATGTTTATTCTTTTTGGACAACCTTTTAGCTGCTTTCTTCACGGTTGGGGGTCGGGTTCAAGTAGAAAAGAGGAAGTAAATAGGGTGTTTCCAATTTGAGGGTTCCATCTCACGGTTTTTGTCCCGGGCGTGATATAACCCGTGAAACCTCCTGGAACTTACATTTTTTGAAAAAACATTCTAACGGCACATCTCCCGGCCGTGAGTTTTAAGTTGTGAGGCGTGCTTTTTGGGTTTCAGCTGTGACCATCTCACGGGTTGATCTCACGCCCGTGAGATTAACAGATGAGCCGTGAGAAGTCCAGCATTTCAATTACACAAACACGGCTCATCTCACGGCCGTGATACTGTCGAACCCAACCCGTGAAACCCCCTGGAATTCCCCCTTTTTTTAAAAAAATCTAACGGTTCATCTCCCGGCCGTGAGATTTTCAGATGTGAGGCGTGTTTTTGAGTTTCAGTTGTGCCCATATCACGGGTTAATCTCACGCCCGTGATATTTAAAGATGAGCCGTGAGAAGTCCATTTTTACATACAAGGTGTTTTTAGTTTCACGGCTTAGTTTAACGGCCGTGATTTTTGTAGCCAAAGCCGTGAGATTGTCTGGGATGTAAAAACTACTCTTTGCTTCTCACGGGTCATGTCACGGCCGTGAGAATTTGCATTTTGGGTGAAATTTAATGGAAGCTGGGTGTTTTGGGTGAAATTTATATATGCCAATGGCGGATTTCATGGTTAATTAGTGTACTCAGGTGTTGATGTAGGGGGTTTTCAGTTCTTCTGGTAGTTAGAACTTGATATCGAGGCAAGTGTGCTTGTGAGCTCTGGTATAGTCTTGCATTTGTTCAATATTGATAAAAGCCATATATTGAAAACCAGGATTGAACTCATTACCTGGAGAATGTGTTTACCGAATGATTAAATGATCCTTTTCTTGAATGAAACTTTGTCATAACCACGTTTTCTCGAATGTGTTTAAGTGTGAAAACTGAAAGTTGCTTCTTTAGATCAGTGGTGGACGACTCTGGCTTTGTGTATTTTGTTAGTACTCTTCGGCATGCTTATAATTCGTGTTTCAAGGCATGCTTATAATTTTTTTGTTGTTTTAATTTTGCAGTTTGCTAAAATTGTTCTATAATGAAGACGAAGAGTCATGAAATTTTTAGCACCCGCTGTTCTCCTAGGAAAGTATTCTCAGTAGTCTCAAATTTAGAGGCTTGTCAATCAGAGGCCATTAAGAGATGTGGCTTTGGTCGTATGCTTGAAGTCAAAGGAAGAATGCTCCAACGTGAGTTGTTGGAGATCCTTTTGAAGAGCTTTAATGTGGAAGAAAGCTCAATTCAGGCTTATGGGTTGAAAGTCCATATTTCGGCCAAAGATTTCGAGCGAATTATGGGCGTGCCTGAGGGAGGTACTGATATCATCTTGAATGGTGAAGAAGTGGGACGAAGATCCGAGGAATTGAATCCATTTAGAGTGTATTCGACAGTTGATTGTGCCCGACAGGCGATTTCGACAAGCTTAATGCGGAAGGCTTTGTCGGAGATGAAAGATAGCGGTGATCTATTTCTTCAAACGTTTATTTTGTACGTAATGGGGGTGCTATTAGTACCAACTAGAAGAGATGACTTTTTGTTATCTTCGGTATACGCTGTCCTCGATGTTGCCGATATTCCGAAGAAGAATTGGGCATCGTTTTGCTTCAATGAATTGGTCAAATGCATCTGCGACCATAATGCTGAGGGGAGAAAGTATATACCGGGTTGCTTGCTGTTCTTGGAGGTAAATAATTGCTAATCCCTACTTTCTACATATTTGTAATGATTAATCATCATGTTGATTATAGTATTTTTTTTTTTTGTAGTTAATATTCTTGGAGCATGCAAATGGTATTTTCGAAACTATTGATAGGAGTTTGGATTTGTTGAGCTGGGGGAGCAGAAACGTGGAGTTATTGTTAACAGAAGTGGTAAGACTGATAGTATATTTGATTCTTTTGACGAGTTGGAGCATGCTAATGGTACATTTGGTTCCCTTTTTAATTAATTTGTAGGTTTCCAGCAGTTCGGGTAAAAGATCAGCTGAGGATGTAGATTTGAAATCACCTGCAAGAAAACGGGAAAAAAGAGATGGGAAACGGCAAAAACCCGACGGTGATGAGCTGCTTCTCTGTGAGCGTATTGACGCTCGGTTTACTACCATGGAGGGTAGAATTGACAACTTTAGGCAAGAATTTAGAGTTGCAATGGGTGATGCTGCTTCCAGAGAGAATGAGCTAATGAGTCGGGTTGTGAATATGGAGAACGAATTTCGGGCTTTTAGAGACGAAATTGGTAGTCAAGTGAAGTCCATTATAGAGGCAGTGAAAGCAACTATAGGTGATCCGTTGTCAAGGGAGCAGCCTACTGAGTTGAAAAAGAACGATCAGAAGGATGAGGCTGATAATGTGAAAGCTTCTGCAGCTGTTTTGTTGTCAACGGAGCAGCTTATCAGAGGGGAAAAGGGCAATCAGAAGGCTGAGGTTGAAAAACCAAGTGAACCCATTTCTCCTACCTCCGAATCTGTCAAGACTCAAGGGTTAGGTGTTAAGAATTGGGGAGAAGCTGAGGGGGAAATTGGAGATGACTGCGGTTCTGAATCTCCTTCTGTCAAAGTTGTGAAAAAGTCTCCTTGCAAGCAGGCGAAAGCGTCTATAGTTGAGAAATTCATATTGTTGAGTGATGAAAGTGTTGCTGCTAATGATGGTTGTGCCAAGACTGTGAAGGTATTACACTTTATTAAGTTTTCTAATTATTTGTACTTATGGTGTGGTTACTAATGAACTTGTTTTGTTTTTATGTTTTTGAACAATAAAGGGGCGAAAGGGAGGTCGTGTATCTAAATTGAAGCCTAGTTTGTATGTGGTCTCTCCATTCGAACGTGCAAATCCCAGAGCTAAGAAAGGGCAACCTTTGTACCGTGCTCCTCCCTTTGTTGTTCAGACACCATTGACTCTGGAGGCAGTAAAGATGATTCAATTTGCTTTTAGTAGTTCGCTTCCCGAAAGGTACCTCCCGAAATCATTACAAGTAAGATTGGATCATATCTGTAGGAAATTTTTGGTATTTGCCTTATTCTAATGTTGTGGTGTTTGAACTTGGTCTTGTATAACAGGGACGTATTGGTTCGTCTTGATGGCGGGGCTCTTGAGTTGTTACGTGAAGATTTGGTCGAGTTTTTGCCCAGGACCAAAATTTCAACAAGGGTGAGTTCCTTTATGTGTGTAATTTAGTAGATTAAACTTGTATTGCTGACTTTGGTATATGTGATGATGATGCATTAGATTATAGAAATGGCATGTCTGTGCAAGACACTAGAAGAACGAAGTTGCGGTCGCAGTGGTGGAGTGTCTTGGTTCTTTCCACCTTCAGTTTCGGTACAGTTGTCTGCTTTGTCTATTCTTGTCATGAAATTAATCTATTTGTTTGTTACATGTAGCTTGTGTGGGTAACTGTGTTTTATTTTTCTAGGATCGTGCGTATCATTGCAAAAACGAGGAGCATTTTATGGAAAACATGCGGTCATATAAGATACTTGAGCGATACCGTATAAGTGAGCTACTTTACTGCAGTAAGGTATGTTGTAATGTTGTTTTCTAAAAGGAAATGGCTTCACACTCCTATGTTAAATTGATAATTATTGTTTGTTTGTGCATTATTTCAGATTCATGTCCCAATTTTCAACCTCACGGTGTCCCACTTCTATCTGGCGGTCTTTAACATGGAAGCCAAAGAAATTGAAATCTGGGACTCAATACCAGGAATTCATAACCTAGAATATGATGCAAGGATGCATAAACTGGTTTGCTTCTTGTTCTTCAAGTTTTAAAACTTGACTTATTGCTTAGTTGTTAGTCGTTTTTCATTTTGTCGTTAAATATCGATGAGGGGGATGTTTTCATTTGCAGAAATTGGGTCTAGACTGGTTGCTTAAGGATGATATCTGCGGGACGTTTTCATTTGTGGACTTTGTGGTTAGATATCGCCGGGATGTTGCTTGCCAACCAAATGGGTACCCTTTGTTGTTGTTCAATCGTGCACTGTTCTAATTAAGTTCGATAATTATTTGTTCGCATCATGACCATGGTAATTATTTGTTATATTACAGGTTTGATTGTGGACTATTTGTCTCCAATTACTTGCTGGATCCAGATCGATATTCCAAGAAGCTTGACCAGTTCGACAGTGACTATGAACGGGCACAACTTACAATGTACTTGCTCACGACGCATTTGAATGAGGTGAAAGCTACAATTACGACACAATCAGAAGAATATTTTGACAGTCATGTGAGACCTGCCCAAATTGAGACTGAGAAGGTGAATTTCAAGACGAGCTTACTCAATCGAGGAAGAAAGCCGTTGCACGCGCATGGGGAGAAAAAGGGTAGAAAGTCT